TTTTCCCATTTTGCTTTTCTGGGATTGAGGAGAAGATGGTAGGGACCCTACTCCTACCATGGACCAGATTAAAAATTCTTGATGATGCCTGGTTTTGGACTGAAGTTGACCCAACACTTACGGTCTGATGCACCCTAGCCACACTACACAAATAGCACTTCTGTAAGCCTGATGCAGGTTCTGGACTGTGCATGTCTTTTCTGCCTATCCTAATGACATGTCTCTTCTTTATAGGTGAAGAGTATACCCTGGTACAGATGAGGCACAATCTCTTATGTGTGTGCCCCTGTAGTGTGTCTCACTCCATGGGTTCCATTTGAGGAAGTTAAGTATTTTATCAGAAGTTAACATTTTTAAACATTGAAAATGTATTTCTCACACTTCCTACCTGTCCTCCCCACTTCTGGTATATCTTTTCTTGTCTAGTCTCAAAGTGATGATTGAACAATCAATATAGAGGGAGTCAGCTGTGTTAGGAGGGTGTGTCACACTCCTGTTGGTGGACGGTTGTCACGTACTCATTTGCATGTAACAACACAGCAAAATCACATGGAAACACAAGGCTATTGGCAAGCAAAAACGTTTATATATAGAGGGCAGTGTTGGAAAATGTTAACTTACATTCCTACTTAAATTTTGTTGTCTATACCTAACATGTGAAACAAAAATAAATTGAATACTCCTGATGTTTTGCTACCCCATAAACTCCAAATTAGGTATTTTGTACCTAGTCAGTAACTCATTTTTATAATGTCATTAGTTCTGGTATGCACTAAAAAATAACATATTTTATAGTTCTTGCTACTAGTTATCCTTTTTCACAACATTCTAAATTTATGTAACCAATAAGCAGTTTCCAAGTCCTAGTTTTCCCTTACTACCATCATATACTTACTTTTCAGCATACTTAACGAGTTGATGCCCTAGAAATGCATTCAAATCTTTTTATTCCAAATTGTTTTTTCACATATACCTAATACAGTATAGCTTCCTGCATTTTCAGCATTAATCTCCTGCCATTTTACAACTTAGTGGGACAGTTTTCTTCTTCTTCTAACACTAGGAGTATCCTTCATTTTAAAATTTAGCTGTTTTGTGCATTTAATAATTTCCTCCCTAATCTGCTGCTTTCATTGATTTATTCTGCAATTTTTGTCTGATTTCCTCTTTTTCTGAGTCCAATAAAAATACATTTAAAAATCTCCACTAAATTGCTTTGAGCTTCTTGAATACAACAGATTAACCTAAGCTGCTTTAACAAATCCCACAAACTGTGAAATTCCAAAAAAAATTGTAATATTACAAAATGTAAAAGAAAAAAAATACAACAAAATCATGTTTGTATATTTTTATGTAACAAAAAGTCATTTTCAGTTTGCATTATTACTGATACCATCTTCATAGCCGATATTATAGTGCCATTATTACTGAATACCTAAATCTGTGGTTTCCAAACTGTGTGTGTCATGGTAAATTTATAGGGATGTCGTGAGAGTTTCACCAAGCAAAGAATAATTAAGAACATGAAAATATATATTGCATGTGGCAGAAGGGGTGTCACGCAAATCAAAGTAAGTGGGTTAGGGTGTCATCAGTGAAAAAGGTTTGGGAAACACCAACCTAAACTTTGCACTATTTACTTCATTATACTCCTAACCATTATAACTAAAACAAAAATATATAAAATTTTAGAAGTGAACAAAAAAAAGAACCACAGAAACAAAAAAATTACCCTCCTATTTTCAAATTATGTATAGAAAAATAAAAGCAATACCTCAAGTAATGTAGTTTACACTGAAGTTTTAAAACACCTAGCCTGAAATACTTGACCAAAAATAATAAAGTTTTAAGTTTAATTTTAACCTAATTATCCTACTCTTAACTTACAAACTGGTGTTTCATCTAAAACATCATATTTATGTAATACCTGTACTGGTGGTGTGTTACAAATTTAAGACTCTTCTACCACTTACCAGTCTTCAGTCATAGAAACTAAAACACTTCAACAGGTAATTGGAAACATTTTTTAAACTTAACTTTTCTCAGACTTTTGTAGTATATGAATAAACCATGAATTTCTGTCCTCTTCTAGTATTTTATTATATATTCTGAATTTATCCTCTCTTCTGTATATGGTAGGTTTCACATAATATGTGGTCAACAAAGCCATTATGTTCATTTCATTCTAGCTGCTTTTGCTGCTTTGTAAATCTCTGGAGGGTATTGCTGTAATGTTGCACATTATACAAGAATTTAGACAGTAGTGTCCTCCAATGGAAGGTTATGTGATTTCTTGAGGCTACGACTTCTCTTATGTTTCAGTGGCATTGACCAACAATGACATAAGTGGTTCATGCATCTAAAAAATATAGTATTATAGATTTTTACATGTAACATATTTAAATATAGGCCATCACATCCACTAAACTAAACTTTAAGATAAAAGCATGCAAAGCTAGCCCTTTTCATTCAAATATTCTTCAAGCTTTCACTTAAGCACCGTTACATATACTACATGTATCACATTTGAAGGTAACCCATTCCAAAGGCCAACCACCCTGTTAGAAAAATAAAATTGTCTTAAGTAGAGATGACTCCTACCCTGCAAAAAATTTGTACTGTATTTTTCAGAATATAAAATGCACTGGTATACAGTTGCATTTGAAAGATATTTATTGAACAAAAATTAAATTTATTACTTTCAAAATTAGTATATATTGTTCTAAACACAAAAGAGCTCAAAATAAGAAAATACCGTAAATCAAAAAAAGGTTTACTGTTATTTATTTTGGTTCAAAACCTACAAAATCTTCATTGCTTTCACTGTAATTTATTTTTTTATTATTTAGAGAGCATTATAAATAGTTATGTTTTTAAAAGAAAAAAAACTACTATTATTATAAATAACACATTCAATTGAACCAAACTATGCATGCCTATTTAAATATATTTACAC